AAAAAAAAAGTAATAAGTTTTGGTGTATTTCTCCACTGAATATTCACAGGTATTGTATACAGTAAGTACTCATTTGGAACCTACTCATCTTTGAAAAATATTGGGGAAAGAGACTGGAAAAACTTGAAACCATCCCTTCAGGAATCTCCTTTCTCTCTGCATTTCTGTCACTCTAGACTGAATGTGAGGCATTGTCTGAACTCACTCACGTGCCCTTTTTCCTCAATAATTCCCTGAGGAGTTTAGATCATCATCTGGCCAGCAGCAGCCACCCTGTAACAGGACAAAGTGTTTATCAAATAGAGATGAACACTGATCATTATGCATTTTGCTGTTACTAAACACTTTTATTTTCCTTATGTGAAGCTAAAAATCCCCTGAACTACAAATACAACTTTGACTGTAAAATGGGATCTTCAGTTCAAGATTAAAACAAATAAATGCAGGACTTCGTGCAATGTTCCGTAGCCAGCAGAGTTTTAAGTGCTGGTGCCTAGAGGGTGTTCAGTTACTAAGAGCAGGATTCGGGTTCCTAAACAGATGGTTTGGGTCCATTTGAGGTGTCTTTGGGCTCATATGAGATGATTTTGGGGTCCCTCTATGGCTTGCACATTTATCTCCAGGAATGCTTCAGGAACCACTCCTGTCACATCTACCAGCTGATGTTTTAGATACCATGGGATATCTCAGATAGCAAGAGGTGCTCTTGTTTAGGGAATCAAATCCTGCTCAAAGTGCCCCATTCAGAGAACTGAATTGCTTTTCACCCACTGCTGACTGCACCAACAAGCTCTAGTGGAAGCTTAACTGCCAAATGCAGACAGCCAAACCACCCTGCACATGGTTGTTGTCTAACTCCAAAGCTGACTTTCAGCTCTGTAAAATATTCCTGGCACCAAAAATGGTCTGATATGTCTTTTGGAGGCAACGTGAGCTCTGAAATGCTGTACTGGAACTGTATATGTTGTTAATCAATGGTGTGAAGTTGATGCTTCAGGATTAATTTCCTCCCACATATTTCAGACATCTGTTTTTGCAAAAAGCCCTAAAGGGTCTTTTCCTACAGCATAGCCTATGGACTTTTTTTTTTTTCCCAGATCTCCCTGAGCAAAACTGTTCATTTTTAATGAAATTTGTGAGCCTAACTCTCATAACTGTAATGACAAAGTTTATATCATGTTATTACAGGATTTTTGTTGAGGATGAAGTAGATTGGGATCAAGGTGGGGATATTGTGATCAGCTCTTCCTCCTATGAAGCCCACCAAACTGAAGTAGTTACACTTAAAGAAGTCCATGGTCATAATATAAGAATTCATGATCATCTTCTGCACAGGCACATTGGTAAGGAATTTTTCTTTACTTTTTTTGAGAGTTTTTTTCTGAAGTATTGACTTTCCATTTCATATCTCAACAGAATCAATTCTACTTCCTTGTGGTGTCTTCATTTCTTTTTCCATGTACTTTTTTAACTTGCAGATTCTAACATGAATTTCTGTGAATAGAATCAATTCAGTGCTGAATTGTTTGGGAAAACTTTCTGGTGTTTAAAGTTGAGCTGGTTCACAGAGAGAGAAAGTAATTTTTCCTTTTTTAACGGAAAAAAGAAATGTAGGATTTTAGGCCCTTTGCACAATTTCTATGGTATGTCAAAAACCTGGAAAAGAATTAAACCTCACCCTTTCTTCAAATTTCAAAATAATTATATTAATAAAGTTTAAAATACAAAATTTTATCATTTCCATGGCATGAAAATAATGTTTTTATAAACTAATATCTAAACAAACATAAGCTCTGCACATATCTATTTTCTGTGTAGATTGCACATTGTAGATTGTAGATTGGGATCTATAATTTTGTAGAAAAAGGGATGCAGTGTTAATACTTATTTACTTTTATTTCAGCCTATAAAGTAAATTTATTACTATTTATTTAACAAAACAAAAGGATTTTAGTAACAAGTCAAATTCTGAACATTCAAACTGAAGATTTTTTTTATGCTCATCAATATTGTTAAAATTTGATTTTTATTCCAGCCAGTAGGCACAAAAATAAGTCTACTGTATAAAAAGATCCAGAGATATGTTTTAAATGGCAAATGTTTAAATGTCTGAGCCAGTAATCAAAGCTTCTCTTGGAATGGAGCTCTGTTCTTCAATTATCCACAGCATTAATCAATAGGTGCCTCCATGGCACAGTTTTTTATGACAATTGCATTTTTCAAACAAAATGTGCAGTTCAAAACATAGAACATCTAGACTTTATTTCCAGTAGTTTATGCATTTTAGGCCTTTATTTTTTTCCTGATGTTGATATAATAATTTTATCATGAGGGGAAATTACTGCTTACCCCCTGAGTAATGCAGCAGTTGTTAGATACAGCTGAAAAAAAAAAAGCACTGATGGAACTATTAAGAGCAAATACTGAGTTTCACCTTGGCAAATGTAGATACTTGCAATAAATGTTCACACATGAGCCAGTCACTCTCAGGTCCCTTGATAATTAAAGCAGAAAAATACATACAATACATAGTTCTCACTCGTATTTTATCTGCCCCTAAAGCAGGTATATAAAGTACACAATAAATTGCACTTGAGATTTGCCTGTTGCTTTCCATCATGCATAAAAACCAGTCTAACTAAATCACATCTGCATGTGTCTAAAGTCACCTGAGATTAATCCAAGCTAGACAGCTGGATAAACTTGAGCAAAAAAGTCTCCTTCAGAAAGGCATTGAAGAAAGTGATTTAAAATCCTTTCAGAAATCACACACAAGCGAGACTGTGTAGCAAAGAGGGTTTTGGCATTGACTGGCATTTTGCATTCTGGCATTAGTCTGATCCTGAGGAAAATTCATGGAGATCAACTCTGCAGTGTGCTGAAGAGTAACTCCAGCACGCAGAGCTTGGAAAAAATGAAGTGTGAACCTGTTCATTGCTTTGGCACCTGCCCACCGCAGGGGAAAGGTTTAGCACCTTCTTGTTCTAAAAACGAGATATCCTGGTAAAATATAAGCGCACAGTGAATATTTGATGGGCAGGTGGCCTTTCTGGTTTTGTGTCGATGCACGCAGATTGTGCTGGGGGTGAAACACACCTGAATGTCAGTGCAGATTCTGCAGAGGAGCTGTCAGGATTTATGTCCCTCAAAGTAAGCTAATAGGTATGATAGACACTTATCACATTTGCTTTCTTGAAACTCCCCAGGGCGTCCCCATGACACAGAAGATGGCAGAAGCATCCCTTTGGCCGCGGAGGTTGGGCTCCTCACACGGAACGTGCGGATCCAGTCGGATGTGGCTTGTGCTGGGAGGATGCTGGTGGGATCCTTCAGAGACTCCAGCGGGATGGAGTTTTCAGGTAGCTGAGATTCACCAGTTTTGCCCAAGAAAGAGGTGCAGCAACATGCGTATCCATTCATATGTGCTATGAAAGTCAGCACAAACTGACTGTCAGCAAGTATGAAACATGAGCAGCAGTAAAAATTCATAAATACGGAAGATCTTTTAGGAGGGGCTGCTCTGTATTTTGTAAGGTTTTACTATGACTTTGTATATATTTATTAGCAAATACCCATCACTACAATACACTGATAAAGTGCCATCTACTATATGTCTGACTGTTGTTAACATGGTTGTCCTTACTGGTTCTTTTGTAATTAGCTTTTATGTCATTCTGTTTATCTTATTGCAGGTGCTCTTCAACTCTTAAATGTTCAATTTTTGAATTTTGGGCCCCCTCAGCTTTCTGCCATTGAATTCAGGAATGTATCCCAAGGGTCCTCAGTGGTGTCATCCAGCATTAGTGGCAGCTGCGGAGCTGGCATTAAAGCAGTCGAGAGCAGTGGAATCCTGTTGCACAACAATGTGGTATTCAACACCACTGGACATGGCATTGATTTGGAAGGGAAAAATCACTCCCTCATCAGGAGCCTTGTTGTTCTGAGCAGGCAGCCAGCAGGTTCATTAAACTGGGTTGCTGGCATCAAGATGAACCTGGCCACTGGTGTCTCCCTTGGTGGCAATGCTGTGGCAGGATCCGAGAGGATTGGCTTCCATATCAGAGGCCAGGAGTGTTCACTGGCTGGAGAATATTTCAGCGGAAATGTGGCCCATTCAAGCCTCCACGGCATTCACCTGTACCAGGAAGATGGATTTCAGACCTGCACTAGAATCACAGGTTTTCTCTCCTATAAGAATTATGACTATGGTGTCATGCTCCACCTTGGAAGCAGCATTATTGTGGAAAACATGGTGCTGGTGGACAACACCGTGGGACTCCTGGCAGTCGTGCACTGTGCCTACACTGAGCAATGCTACACGGGGAAAAAGTTCATAGAACTTAAAAGCTCCATCATTGTCGCAACAAGCTCGACTTTTGACTGCCTTAAAGACAGGATCACACCTCACTCAGCTGATTCAACAGCCCAGGACCGACCCCCACGCTACCCTCTAAGAGGCCGTGTTGGGATTTTATGGCCCACGTTTAGCACCGTTCCCAACCAAAGGCCAGAGCATCCCTGGCACAAAACTTCTGGGCGTTGTCCAAAAGCCCTGGGAATCATGAAGCTGAAAGGTTGGTCTTCTGCCTCCACTGACCAGACTGTTCTGTCACTGCTTTTCTTCACTCATTTCATTTTTTCCAGTGGAAGTTTTAGCCTCCCACAAGTGGACTGTTGGAGGAATCAGAGCCTCAGTGAAATTGATAACAGAATTCTTCTACAACTTGATACAGTTTAATTAAGAAAATATATTATTTGATATTTTTTACTTCCTGAATCTACTCCATGATAATTGCTGCCCCTAGAAGCTGTGGGTGCCCCATCCCTGGAGGTATTCAAGGTCAAGTTGGACAGGGCTTGAAGCAACCTGGGATAGTGGAAGATGCCCCTGCCCATAGCAGAGGGTTGGAATGAGATGATATTTAAGGTCCCTTCCAACCCAAACCATTCTTATATTCTATGATTTGGTGATAAATATGTCCCATGATAGTGTACAGATTCTACCTCACACATACCTTCCTTCTGTGTTCCTTTTCCAATTGATAATCCACAGTTACCTCCACCGAATAAAGATACAAAATCTGAGAAGTAAATATCACACTTTGGATAGAATTGTCACAGAATATAAGAACTACAACTCACAGAAGCAGTTATGACCTTTATTGGTATAAGAGATTGCACAAGAGGAATAGAAGTCTGTTATGTGTCCTGGATCTTTGTTTCAAATGATTTTTTCAGTCCCTAGAGCAATATTTGAATATAGCAGAACCCCGATAGCTGGCTGCAATGGTAGGATCTAAATACCTCACTACTTTTCATGTCCTTATTCCTCACTGCTACTTACTTTTGTAAGAAAATTCATTATCCCTTTTTTACTGAGGAGTAAGAGAGAGAGATAAAGACAAAATAGACTTCCACAGAATCTCACAAAAAATTCATGGCACAATATGGATTTTGGAGCTGCACAAGACTTGAGTGCCAGAGCCAAGTATGTGTCATCACACCCTGCTTGTCTTACATTAATCTCTGGCAAGTAGAAAAACCATCCAAGGCAGATTGTTATTTAACTGGTTCTTACTTATTCAAATGAAAGTATATTAAATACTCTTGCTTTTTGTTTTCTCTCTCAGTTACTATTTCTTTGATTGCATTTCCTATGGCATGACTTGGTTTGTATCAACTGAGGATGTAACTTAGCTACTGAGTATTCTAAAGCCACATGAAAATCTATAAACAATGCTGTTAGTCTGATTTAAAAATAATTTGCACGGATATATATATATATATATATATATATATATATATATATATGGGTGGCATCTTAACATGGAAAATATCACATGGAAAAAACAATTTTCTTGTCTCTAGTTATGGCACTCTTAACCACTTTTCCTTCCTTGATCTTCTTTTAATCCTTGGCAGAAGTCACCTTTACTGGTTTTACACAGAGCTGCTACAGTGAAGACAGGGATGTCTGTATCATGTCAAATGCTGATCATTTAGGCATCATGCCTCTCATCACAGCAGAGACATCAAGGATGTTACATGTCAGTGAGAAAGATAAGTTCTACTTTCATCCAACGAGGTAAAATGCTTCATTCTGAACTATATTTTTTCAAAAAAAAACCCCAAAAAACCAAAACACTTACAGCTTTGGATCTATCCTCCCCTCATATCTGCTTTTGTACTGCTCCTTTCTGACAAAAATGAACAAGCTCTGACATCAAACAAACATGCACAGAAAAACTCACTTACAGGAGAAAAAAAAACCTGAAAAATGCCACCAAATTTAGTTTAGAGTAATCTTTTATAATCTGAGTTTTGATTCCATCAAGGTGCATCTCCGGATGAATCCTCTTAGATTTCTTCTTTTCCTGACATTTGTGCAGCAAAGCAAGCCTCACATATCCCATTTCTTAAACCCCTATCCTGACCATCTCTGACTTCTCAGCCTCAGGCTTCAGAAAATGTCAGGACCTCCAGGAAAAAAACCCTGAGACAGGGAATGTCCTTTTGGTCGGGGAAGCGTGGCTTGATTTGTGCCTGCGAGATCGCATCAGAAATGTTGATCAGTACCAGGCAGGCTGTGAGATGTCAAATGATTGCCAGAACTGCTCCTGCCCAGGGAGAATATCATCTGTGAGTGTTGAAGAGGGAGGGGAGAACTTCATCTGTAACCTTAAGTCACTGCTGGTTGCAGTGGTTTAGACATACCACATCCAGTGGAAACCACATGCCTATTTATTTATTGCACTCACTGAACATGATGCAGAGGCTATGTCAGGAAAGCCTTGAAGTAGCAAAAAAAAAAAATTCCAGCATGGACTCCACTTGCCAGTCAAAAATAATTGGAGGTGTCCCGCACTGCTATGTTTAGAGCCCCTCCAGCCTTCTGCCAGAATTTCTTATTTTATTCTATATTTTTGCTTTTTGCTCTGGGCATTAGTTTGCGTGTAGATTTCTGAGCGCTGTCCAGCTTGTCAGCTCCCATTATGTTTCACTCTTGTATCCATCCCACAATATTCTGCTGGTAGTGAGCTGCTGAATACCCAGTCCACTGCAAGAGCTGGTGGTTTTCGAATGTGAGGAATGCACATGGATGCTTCCTTGGAAAGCTGCTGGGACTCTGAGGGTGGTTACATCTCCCAGTGCTCCTCATGCAGTATCTGCATGCATTTATTTAATCCACCTTTGCAGCTGCTGAGCTTGATCCAGAATGTGGCTGCATTGTCCTGCTTCAGCATTCCGAAGGGATATCTTGATGGATATGTCCTATCAAGAAGAAGATGAGCATTGCCTTTGAGCAAGAAAGGAAATAGAAACATCAGAAAATGTAGCAAATCCATTAAGAACTTTGCTTGTCCTACTGGTAGACCTAACCAGCAGAAATGCTGGATCTGCTGAGAAATGGTCAAGAACTGAAATGTCAGGATCAGAGGAGTCTTTGTTCTCTGTCTCTTTTGAGCTTGGTTGACTGGGGGAATTTGCCTTTTTGTTCCTCTGTCCTTACAGCAAATTTCTGCCTATACCTGGTCACACCATTCAAGGTACCAGCAATCGGATTTTCTCAGCCCGAGACCAAAAAATTCTCCATTTTCTTCCAGATTTAGTGTGAATCCATGTAGTAATCTGAAAATGTCTGCATGAACTTGGCTGGAGTTCATGTCTTTTTTTCTCATATTGAATTCTGCCATGGGTATGAGACGCTCGATTCACCAGTTCTTTGATGCTGTGTTGAACCTTTAGTCAATCTGCAATTTAAAGCAATTCAGCTCACTACACCTTAGTGTTCCAAAAATTAGGCATGTTATTTAAGCACAATGACCTACCTCTTTTTATAGTCAATATAGACCCTTGTTTAGGAACTTATTCATCTCAACTCTTATATTTTGTCTCAAGTGAGATGAGTTCCTCTCCACACACCTGTCCTGTTACAGGTACCTTCTTCTGTGGCAGCCAGTAGTTAATGGCTTAGGCTTTTCTGGCTGTTCCAAGCCACTAATAATAATGTTACCTTTCCTACTTACCAGTGTACCAACCTCTAAAGACACCATGCTCCCCGAAAAGAGATGCAAAGGCTCAAGGAAAGCCCTTTTCAAGGATTTGGATGGAGGTGTTCTGCATCTGGAGCCACCTGTCTCTGTTTTTCCCAAGTCAGAATTTGAATGGACACAGTTCTACTCAGAATCTGGTAAGTGTCTGTGCTGACAGGAGTGTTTGCAAAGTCATGCAGAAATTTGAGTCATGAGATGTGACTTTCACTGAGATCTGCAACTGTGGTTGAAGTCATGGTAGTTCCAATCTGAGCGATTCCTTTCCAGGCAGGATGTACTGAACTGTGCTGTAGAATTCTGGGGTGACTCAGTGTGCAGCTCTGTGCCCACCAGTGCCACTCTATCTTCTTGCAGTGTTGGAATCCTGGATACTGAGAATTTTGAATTTTCTGTGCTGAAAGGCACAGACTTGCAAGAGAGCACTGCATTTGACCTGAGGCTGTGGAGAAGACTTCCAAAACTGATTAATAGCACTGGGATTACGGGTGTGTAGTTGGTTGGAAGAGTGTAATATCACAGGCTGGAAAACCTAGAGTTTGGGGTTTTAGAATATAGAAATAAATACAAAGCAAGAAGGAAGTTTTAGGGTGGAGGCAGGTTGTTCTTCTTCACCTTCTTCCTTCTTCTTCCTTCTTCTTCATGGGTTTAGGTGACGTTTTGTAATTGGACAGAAAAGTCTGGATTGCGGGCATTGAGAGATCAGTTATTGGGTCAAAAGGGAAAATAATCCAGGTGTAGTTTCTTATTTGGATAATTTAATCTTAAAAGACCTTGTAACAAGAGATAATTGGCCATTTTGTGCCGTGCTAATGAAAGACTGCAGAACTCACGGCTGTGATGCTGTAACATTGATGAGAAATAATAAACACCTGAGCATGAAATACCATCTCAAGTGCCTTCAATCCCGACCTCGGCAGAGGTAGAAAAAACAAGATGAGAACCCACATTGCAGTCTTATTTCATCCTTAGCCCCTTTAGGGTCTGACTCGCTAGACTGGATGGTAGAAAGAAATTCTTCCCTGTGAGGGTGCTGGTGCCCTGGCACAGATTTCACAGAGAAGCTGTGGCTGCCCCATTGCTGGAAGTGTCCAAGGCTGGGTTGGACAGGGCTTGGAGCAACCTCAGACAGTGGAAGGTGTCCCTGCTCATGGCAGGGGGTGGAACAAGATGATCTTTTAGGACCCTTCCAACCCAAACCATTCCACGATTGGTCATTCTACCTGCCCCTTACAAAGTCCTCTGAGAGCATTGAGGGGCACATGCCATAAAACCACCATAAAACTGCAAAATAATACCAATAATTGGCCCCACAAGGATTTTCATCCACACCCCACTGAGGAGATAATCAAGCTGAAAACCCACTCCAGAAGTTTGACGACCCCTCTCTGTTTAAAAAAGGCCCATTCTGCTCAGTAACCACTTTCTGAAGGCTCCCACAGCAAGGCTCCATCCTCATCCTGATTAAAACTCAGCTCTCTGATTCCAAATAAACTCTTTAATTACAATTAGCATTCCCTGTGCCTGCTGCTGATGGTGGCCATTTTGCTGTAGAGATGCATCGTTTGTAACTCTGCTGGTATGGGAGACTGATGGGAGGGACTGTAATTAATCCTGTTTTCCTTCACACTCTAAAACTGATTAAACACAAGAAGAACTTTAATCTTTAAACAAAATGTGTAAGGCTTTTCCTCTAAGGATCCTGCTTTAGCTGGCTGCTTACAGGGTTGATTTATGTGTTGTCTAGATGCAAACACTGATTTTTATTGTACCTTTTCCACCCTAATTATGAATCACATCTAAGCACTAATGCTCTGGTACTATTACCACTTAGCACCTGCATATTAATGAATATATTTGCATACAAAACCTGGATTTTATTCAGATTCCCACAATTTTTAGCACATCCTAGCACACAGTCATAGGTATAAGAGGAATCACCACCATCTAAAGTGCACTAAGGGTACAGCCTTCACTCCAGGTTTATCTTCTTGTGAAATGAAGGTAACAGCATATGATAAATGTTGCCTGCCTCTGAGCTATGACAAAATTACAGTGTTTTCTTTTTGCTGCCCAAATCTGAATGGGGATTTTTTCCCCTTCCCTTCATAAATGTGTGTTATATTCCTCTGCATTTCTCATTCTGATTCATTTTGTCTTGAGGTTGACATTAGGGAAGGGACAACTTGATGATAAGGTGAATTTGTGGTTGTCTTCTTCCCTTCTCTCCTTCTCTTTCTGGAAAGTTGTAGCACTGAGTATTTTTCACAGTGCAATGCAGGCTCCCAGGATAGACAAATTGGAGAAAAAGCTCAACTTCCTGCTCCCACTGATGTCCTGCCAGCAGGAACTGAGAAATTATCATCCCCCCTGAGCTGGGCACTGATGAGACCAAACCGCAAGTCCCACATTCAGTTTTGAGCTCCTCACTGCAAGAAAGGCATTGAGGGGCTGAAGTGGGTCCACAAAAGGGAAAGGAGCTGGGAAAGGGTCTGCAATATAAGTCCCATGAGGAGCAGCTGTGAGAGATGAGGTTCCTTAATCTGAAGAAAAGAAAGCTCAAGGGGACTCTCTACAACTTCCTGAAAAGAAGGACTGACCTCTTCTCCCAGGAAATTAGTGATAGGTCAGAGGGAAATACCTTGAAGCTGCACCAGGGAAAATTCAGGTTGGCTATTATGAAAAATTTATTTCCAGAAAGGTTGGTCAGCCATTCAAACAGGCTTCCCAGGACAGGGGAGGCCACCATCCCTGGAATCATTAAGAAAACCAAGATGTGGCCCTTTGTAGTATGGTTTAGTGGGCATGGTGGCATTCACTCATTCATCGTGGGTTTGATGACCTTGGAGGTCTTTTCCAGCCTTAATGATTCTGTAGGGAGAGATTCCCCTTTGGTGTGAGAATGCTTCAATACCTGTAAAGATGGTGGTGTTTTCACAGAATTATAAAATCTATAGAATTATAGAATGGCTTGGAAGGGGGCATTGGAGTGGGATGATCTTTCTGATCCCTTCCAACCCAAACCAGTCTGTAATTGTATAATTCTATGATAAACATAAATATTTATGTTCACTTCAAGCTTCCAGTTTGGCCAATCAGATTTAAATTACTGTCCCTCAGGCATTTTCAGATACTCTGATTATTCTGTGGGGAGCAAACCAAAACTCTCAGTAGACTTCAGGGACAAAAAAGCCATAGAGATGTTTTATCAGAATAAGGAATATCACCAGGAAGAGGTTTTAAGAGCCATTACTGGGGCGCAAGGGATCATTCAGAATTATATTGATCTTCCTGGATTCACATAATGTCTTTTATTAAAGATGTAATTCATATAGAATTTATGAAATTTATTATTTCTATACCCACTTTTTTCCCCTTTTGTTTTCCTGAACTTCTACCCACTGAGTTTGCTCTTTGCTCATAGACTGAGATTTTTATTGCATCTCTCTGAAGAAGTAGATTCATTCACTTCAAAATGAAGTTTTAGTTTTCTGGATAAACCACAGAAATTCAGAAAAAAAGAACAAAACAGGAGGGAACAGAGCCAAGATTTTTGTTGCTATTATTATTTCTACTGCAAGAAAAAAGGAGTAACAACAAAAGTGGGTCTGAGTCCAACAAAGCATAATTACTTTTTAATATGAGTCCTTTTTAGTCTTTTTTTTTGTCTTTTAAATATAATGTTGCAAAAGTTTAAAATGAAGCGTTTTCCAACACCCTCCTCCCTAAATAATTTATGAGAAACTTTCAAAGTACCTTTTTTTTTAATTATCCAAAACAATTTAATGAGTTTAACATGAATTTGTAATTATTTAAATCTCTTTGAGCTGCCATTTTTGGATGACAAAATGTTTTTCTCTTAAAACTCATGTGTAGAGCAAGCCTCTTGCAAAAGAGCTTGGGGCCAGGCCTGGAGCACTAAATTGTTCCATGATACAGGAAATACCAGAATCATAAGCTGTACAGCAGAATTAGCTATAAACAGGAGTGTCTTGCTGGGGAATTAAGGATAAGTGAGCAGTTTCTGTATTCAACTGATTCCTCTGTCCAAGTTAAAACCTCAGCTCCACAAAGGGCAGCTGATACAAACATCCTTGAGTAGTATTGGCCAGTTGCTGGCTTTTTGCAGTGTTCATAGGACTGTTATCACAGTTCCTCACATCTGTAATTTGGGATGACTCCCAGAGCCATCGAAGTTCATCACCTTCCCTTGGTGGACATGTAGCTGAGGACCTGAAACTGGTGGAAGATCCAGCTGTCCCTGCTTCTGTTGTTTCATGTGTTGACACAGAATTTTGGAATGGTTTGGGTTGGAAAGGACCTCAAAGGTCATCTGATTCCATCTCTTGTCATGGGCAGGGGCAACTTTCACTAGAGTTTACTAATGTCCCCTCCACTGAGCAAAGAGAAGTTGACTCATTACATGGATAATACACAGAAACAGAGAGGAGATGAAACCAAGTCTTTCAACTTTTAGTCTTGAGCCTGCAAACTTATGTTTCCTGCTGACAGATACATTCTAGGTATATTTTAAGGCAATTTGAACTGAATAATCCTAAAATCATAAAGCAGATCAGGTTGGAAGTGGATTCAAAAGCTCATCTGGTCTACCCTTCTGTGGGGAAGCAACATTATCTGGCACCCTGTCCAACTGCATTTTGAAAACCTCAAACTGAGGATGTGATGAAGACTCCACGTGTCCCTGGGGAGATTGTTCCAATAAATCATGGAATCACAGAATGCTTTGGCTTGGAAGGGACCTTCAAGGTCATCTTGCTCCATCCCCCTGCTGTGAGCATGGACACCTTCCACCATCCCAGCTTGCTCCAAGTCCTGTTCAACCTGGCCTTGGACACTTGCAGTGACTGCTATCACTATGAAAAAAACTTATTTCTTATATTGAGATGAGATCTTTCCTGGTGCAAGCAGTACCTGTAGCCCGTTGTCTTCCCCACGTGTCTCCTTGAGAAGAAAGAGCTTTATCCTCCTTGTAGCTGCCCTGTAAGTACTGGAATATTGTGATAGGATTCTCTCCTGAGCCTTGTCTCCTCCAGTGAGAACACACCTAATCCTTCAGCCTTTTCCCATGGGAGAGGTTCTCCATCCTTTTCACCAATTTTGTGTCCTTCCTTAAGTCCTCTCTGATTCTGGTTTACTGGGGGATGATGAAGCCCTGGGCTATCTGATGTATATTCATGCACTTTTCCTTTCTGTTCTAAACATGTGCTCCTTGCATTTTGTATGAATAATTGAATTTATTTTCTACTTTACAACCTGACAACTCCTTGTAAGTTCTTTGGATACAGTAGAAGAATCAGTGAGATTTAGGTCTGTAATACCTCTGTGGAATGGACATTTATTTTGACACTAGTTTTTCAGGAAGAGAAGAGAATTTGTGACTAGCCCAAGGTCAGTCATTGAATTAAAAATTATCCTTCCAGAACCCTGACAGTCAGACCTTGAATTTAAAAACACTCCACCCTCTTAAGGCAGGTGGAACTTTATAGTTGCATTGACTACAATAAGCCCAAAGTGCATTTTACATAACACTTGTAACTAAAAAAAAAAAAAAATCCTGGACTATATTTTGGGACATTACTGAACATTTAAATTCTGACTACAATTAGAAAGAAACCAACAAAAAATTATAGTTTTGAGGTTTTTTTGGTTTCCTTTTTTATTTTTCAATTATTCTTAAAAAAAACAGAGGTATTTTTTATCGACTTAACTTTCATGCTAATCTATTGGTGAGAGGATCAGTGTGTTGTGAACAACTAAACTTTTTATCTGACTAGCAAATAATTGAGATTATATTTTCCTGTATCATTTTCAATCAAGACAAATCTAAAGCTGTAAAATTGCTTGGTAGTCTTGCTTACTCTCTAGAGGTAATCAGTACATTTTCTAAATAATAAAGAAGAAAATGTTTAATATGTAAATGCTATTCTGAAGCAAGCTATGCAGACATTCAACACACAATTTTATAAAAAGCTATTGTCAAAAACTCTTTGAATTGTAACATTGAAGTTAAAAGTCATAAATGAATATGCAGAAATTTGCTAAATTTATCAGAAATATGATCAAATGTCAGAGGTAGATAAAAACAGTCCTCAATAACTCATGTTATGGGTCAAAGATTTTTTTGTACAATTTTCTTTCTTCTGGTAATTTTAGTTATTGAATAAAAATCTCAAATAATAGTTGGGAAAACGTAGAATTTTGAGACCCAGGCTGGCAGTATAAGTTAGGGCTAAAGCTGGGTGAAAATGTTGAACCATAAATATTTAATATTCCCAGGAATATGATTAGCCACACTAGCTATGCATAATTGTAGTTAGTAATTAAAGATGTCTGAGAAGAAAATGCAGGTTTGGTAGATCTGCAAGAAATGAAACAATGCAATATCAGCATTGTTTTCCTCTGGAACTTTTCTGTTGTTGCCGTTCACAAATAGAAATTTGCTTTTTCTGCAATAAATGGCCCATGCAAAATGGGTTGGAAATAGCAATGGAGGACATTAAAAGAGCTCTTACCAAGCTATTCATTCATAAAAAAACAAACCTAATATGAT